AGTGAAGTCGGCTCCTTTATTGTTGTTTTAGCAGTACGAATTAAGGTTGTTTCTCAAGTATTTAGTAGTATATTAATCAATGCCTTTTTTTAACATGGGGTAATGCCTATGCATACCCTCCTCGCGGGGGCAAGGGCGGGTTATGTCGGACTCGCACCGACTAAAACCCCATGGTGTTCCACCTTCGTCGCATATTGGCAGGGCTACGGGAACGCTTTCGCACACTTCCGCGGCCCCACCAGCGACTGCCGCCCCATGGCAGCACCTCATCGGGAGAGGAATATTCCTCCCCGTTCTCCTTCCCAAGTAAGGCGCACCAAAACACATGGCACGCCTTCCTCCACGGCCTCCAATTACATCTGCGCAACAGACGCCCCCGCGTCCGATGCGCGAAGGCCATGGGGCCAGGAAAAACGAGCACTTAGAAGTACTAGCCTTCCCGACCCCAGCGGCGGATCTGGTCTATGGCTCCGCCGCCAACCAAGATTCGGCTGCGGAGGATGGGGAGAGCGGAGCCTCGCAATACCGACAATCCTCTCCCCCCGCAGCCCCATCATCACCGCATCAACGGTGCGGCCCCGTTTGAGTCGCGGAGGATAGGGCGAGTGGCGCATCGCCATACCAACACTCCTCTTCCTCCGCGACTCCACCTCGGCTGCAGCGGTAGGTGGGGAGGACACACCTCTCACCGCAGTCCACCACCACACATCCGAAGTGGGCTTCCCAAGCCCACTCGGAGTGGCCACCTCGGGCCGGCCCTCCACCTCGGACCAGCCATATTCCTCTTTGTTTCGCCGTGGGTGACCAAGCCACGGCTTCTAAGCCCCCTCCGCCACGACAAGGCGGGAACCCGTTCGGGGGGGATATTAATCAATGCCTGCGAAAGCTTTTCTGCTTGCCTTGGTTGAGCCAAACCAATCAAGGCGCGGCCATACAACAGTAGAATGGCACGTTAAAATTTCTTGCAGTATAGTAATAATGCGAATAATAATGTCCTACAGACCGAATTTCCGTCACGGTGGCCAGTCTTAACGGACACTAGCCACTTCCGCAGGAGAGGACGGAACAGACATAATCTCATAGTCCAATAGGATGGAAATCCCAAAGAAGAGAAACACGTGAGTTCCGTTGCATGGGAACGAAACCCCGCCAACTTCCTGACTCCAAGGTGCCATTGAGAATTTCTTGACAGAAAAACTCAATAACTGAATTTGGCCCGAGTCGGGATATGAACCCAGACCTACATGATCAATAGCCGTGCTTATGACCAGCGATGATTTAAAGCACAAGACCAGCGAGGAATTCAATGCTTTAAAAAAGGTTCATTCACTTAATTTCACAAAATTATTGCTCATGAAAAAATTTCTATTTTATTCAAAGACAAGTTAGAGACCCTAAAAGTATTTAAAAGTAATATGGTAAGTCAAGCTTTTGAGTACAAATTATGCAAAGCCTATAAAATTTTGTTGGTTGTGCAAAAAAAGACAATATTAGCCGCGTTGGGTTCAAAATTAACGTTTTTATGTAAGTCAATCGACCTTTTTACGCAAATGTAGCCAGTTTCACGACTTTACAAATAGCTTAACGCAAATATAAAGTCTAACAACTTACAAACAAACCACTTAATTCTGAATACTAAAAAAATACGTAATTAGTTGGTTCTTACAGTAATGTTGATAGGAGCCAGACTTTTTATCAGACATTGGTTTGGACTACTATCCCTTTAGTTATACACATAGCATTTTAGTTATTCGCATTAAATTTAAAATATCCATAAAGACTTTTGTTCTATATAAAACTGCTAAACAATCTGAGATTAATTTTTGTATCGATGAAGTGTAAATATAAAAACATTTACAAACACTTCGTACGTGGTAGAGCCACGCTGCAGCTGCTCGTATATTATGGTTGTAGCACGAATGGGTCGGCTGGACCGGGGAAGGACCACGCAGTCACAAAATACCAACGTAAAATAGCAGCCTAATACTGCTGTGTTCCGTATGGTGGGTTTAGAGATCCGGAGACCTTTTTTTACTGGAACCGAGGCATTCTAACTCAGTACTCAGGGGTGACAACGTATTTGCATTTTGATTCTTAATCGAGGATAAATGTAGATGTCTATGGGGCACAGCATCCACTTATCATCAGGTAGACTGTATACTCGTTTCTCACCCTTATACTTTAAAAAAATTAGAGAAGTTTTATTTCAATTGCACTTCCCATTAGTGATACTTTAATGCAGTCAACTTCCAAAGTTTTCATCTCACTTTGTTAAAAATATTTAACTGTAAACATAATGACAAATGCTGCTGAAGTGGAGAACATACAGAAGGAGCTTAAAGAATACTGGACCATGATGACAAATTAAAAGCTACGTTTACACCAACTAATTCCACCCTCATTCAATTACGTGATGAGTTTTAGGCATTCAAGGAGCTGGTAGGCTCATTGGTTAATTTCTTTGACAGCAGGTTCGTGCTTGCTTAGTCTATTGATGCAATAGATAAGAGGTACAGACGAAAGATTTTTCTATTCAGTGGTATTCCTGACGCAGCAGAGGTTGATGCAGAGAAAGAGATCCTGTGCTTTTTACACAACAAACCATTGGATTGGGTTTAAAAAAGATGCACACGCCCAGCCAGTTCTCGTCCAATTCTAAGACTGTCACACGAAGCATGAGGTTTGAAATGCTAAGACCAAATTAAAAAGGTCTCTTGTTTCAGTTTCTGAGTTTTAAAAGTTTTCTTACAAGAACAATCCATACAACATAAAAAAACACTTTGATTTAAAGAATGTGTGGACACATGATCAGAATATTTATGTCAAACTGCCCAGTAATGAAAGGGCGAAGATCTCCTCGGAGGATAAGTTGAATATTCTTATAGTTTTCCTGCAATTAGTTTTCCGGCTACATCTGGCTTGATTTCTGTAGATATTGACACTAGAGCTGAGCTCGACTGGGGAAGGACTACGCTCACAAAGTATACCAGCGTAAAATTGCAGCTTAACAACGCTGTTGTGTTTCATATAGTGAGTGTAAAGAACCGGAGACCCTTTTCACTGAAGATGAGGCATTTTATCGTAGTTCTTACGGGTGACAACGCATCTGCATTTTTAATCGTAATCGAGGATTCTAGATGTCTATGGAACACAGTAACCATTTACCAGCAGGGGGATTGTGTGCTTGTTTGGCATTCTTATCCTTTCCCCAACGTGATCGGTGTTTTTTTAATGAATTGTCGCTAGAGGACGTTTGCCTGGTCTGTCTGTGTACATCGCGTGCAGTTGAGGTTAGTCTTTGAAGAGAGGAATATAACAACATTGTTATATTTCCCCTTTCGTTAAACACTGCCATTGATAGGTCTCCTTTTTGTCTAGGAGTCCCTTTGGGTACAACCCTCTTACTTATTTTGCTACCAAATAGCAGTGCCAGTATTGCAGTATTTCGGTCTGAAGAGTGGAAAGAACAGTGTAATTACTAGCTGTGAGGCATTCAATCTCTTGCCTCAGGGTTGACAATGCATTAGTAGCCTACTTCGTTTGAAGTTGTTCACAATTGTTCAAGGGTCAGCACTGCCACTACCACCAACAGGATTAAGTGACATTACAAAAACATGTACCTTATGATGTTATGATGTTCTATTCCTCATCAGCCTATAAAAAAATAAAAAAATAATAAGTTCAATAATCATTTATCTTTCTAAGAATGTGCTTTTTATATCATTTATATGTTCAATATGATTGTTAAATACGATTTCATGTGAAAAAACCTTGTATTCTTGATTTTTAGGCGCTAGTAGAACATACCTACGCGCTTTGCGATTAAGACATGCAATTTAATATATGAACGCCTATTTCTGGCATCTATTTATTATATATTTATTTCTGGCCCTCTCTTGCTGTGGAGAGGACTTTCTTTATTTAGCACGCTTGGCAGGCGAGTTCAATTGCATCGCACCTGCGCTGCTCCCTATCCCTGACCAGGGTACATATTCGTATACTTCTTAAATGTGATAGTTATACCGCAGTCTATCGGTATAACCAGTCTATCGGTGTCCAAGAGACCTTTTAAGCATGTCCTCTTACGACATCTAAGCGACGAAAAAATTATGAATTATCTTCTCTACTACCACAAGACATAAAAATGTATGTTTTGAATCAAATTTATACGTGGTAGTGCGACGCTGTTGCTATATTATGGACGTAGTGCGAATGGGTAGGCTAAACAGGGAAATGACTGTGCTCTCGTAGAATACCAGCGTGTAATAGCAGCTTAATGTCGCTGTGTTTCGTATGGAGAGTTTAGAGAATCGGAGATCTTTACTGGAAACGAGGCATTCCTTCTTAGTTTTGTAAGATAACATCGCATCTGCATTTTGATTCTTAATGAAGGATAGATGTAGATGTCTACTGGTCATAGAATCCACTTACTATCGGGTGGGCTGCGTGCTCATTTGTCACCTTTATTAAAGAGAAAAATTAAGCAAACTGAAAAATAGCAAGCTGAATTACTACGATATACATATACTGACATATTATAAATATGTACGTATTTAAAACATAATATGTAAGCAGTTGTAACAAATGAATATAAACTCCTTGCTATTATCACTTTGCCTTTGCTTTCCGTTGAAGGACTACGTGGTTAAAAGTAAAACGTACTCATCACAGAACACAATTACTCTCTACCGAGAGGTAGTGATTAAATACTTTTACATTAATATTATAAATTAACACCAAATTTATAACAAATAAATTACAAAAAATATTTTGTACTTGAATTTGGTTTAAAATAATTATCGTCAACAATTATTGTACAACAACAATAAACAATTTTAACTTGAACATCAACTGACATAGATATTTCATGAGAAACTGTAAAAATAAAATAAAACCAGAATATTCTTGCCCTTTTACCTCGAGCAGACAGTACAAATTTATGTGGAGATTATTCACGTACTGGAGCACTGTGTAACCGTTGTTTATTATATAACACACAGTTGCCGTACGTGATGGGTATAGACTACGAGAGCCGGGGCGCCATGCTGCCGCCGCAGGTCAATATATCAGAACGAGGCTATGTTCCTACTACACTGCAGACGTTTAGGTAAGCATATAATTTCTAAAGCGATAAGACACACGCATATACATAAATATACACGCCTGTCACCCAGAGGGGTAGGTAGAGACTACGGACTTCTATTTGACAAGATCCTGATACACCTCTCTCGCTTCATTTACATCCATATACCTACGCATAACATGTTCGTCTGATGTAAGAATCTGAATTTACGACACACAATGAGACTAAATAAGCACAAAAATAACCACGTGCTAGGCGGTCAATAAAAACATTCGTGTATGCATTTCTAAGAAATAAAATACGTTGAAGACATTATGAAGTGCGGTAACATGTCTTTGATCAACTTGGCAGACTAGCTGTTGCATGCATTTTTATATTCCGGATCTTTTTAGGGCATTGCATTTGTCATCATTGATAATTACGTCAACACTCACATATTTAGATGAGTCTTAACATTCCTTGCATATTAGGTGTATTATTAGTTAAGTCTTGCCACAAATTAAAGAATAAATAAATCCATATCTTGGAAAAACTTCAAAACAATATATTTATGTTTGTATCATATATTTTACCAGTTAGATATTTGGGTACCCTTATAGTAAAGGTGTAAGTGAATATACTGTCTCATACCACACTGTGGGTGTCGTAGAAGGCGACAACCTGAAAACAACTGAAAATAATAAAACAACTACGGTTGCCAACCCGCCTGAAAAACCTCGCAACTGCAGCAAATATACTCTAAATGAGAAAATCTATGGAGAGGGCAATGTTCAGCAGTGATCCTACAATAGGTTGTAATGAATGATTAAAAATTTATATCATTAAACTGGCGATCCACCTCGGCTTTGCACGGGTGATTTCTGGATCTCGATAATAGTGCCACCTACCGGGTCTAAATATGAATCTAAGCCACTAAGGGACCTACACCCAATACAAAAATTTCATCAAAATCGGTCGAGCAGCTTTTGAGTTTTACCGATACTAATGTACAATAATTGATTTTTATGTACAGATAGAGATACAGAACATAAAACATGAGAAGTATATTTTAGTTTTTAAAATGACAAATTTTATTGCTATTTACAATATTTTTAGGGTACGATTGCCATGTACAGGAACAAGAAGTGCAGAAATTTTGGTTACTATGCAATTAAACATTTCCGCACCAGATCGCGCTCATAAAGACGTCAAGCTTGTGTTCAAAAGGAATAAAATTTGCTTAAAAGGTTGGTAACCATTTTCTATTCTTACATACTTATTTCTTAAGACAAAATTGTGAAAAAAGAGATGCCTTTTATGAACTACGAGTATCTTGGTATTATATTTTTTTATAGTTAAGGTGACAAACGAGCTTAGAGTCCACCTGATGGTAAGTAAGTATTGTCATCTCAAAGGCCTGAAAGGGAATGCCTTATTACAAGTAAAAATGTGTCCTCGTCGATCTCGTCGGTCGTAAGTGTGGTGACTGCTTATCACTTGTTACTGTGTTCGAATCTTGGGTTGAGCTGTTGGCTTGACAGTTCCATACAACCAATTCATCCAATTCCATCTTAGTCCTGAGGGATGAAATTCATCTAAGCTTGATACTTAATCGAGTGTAGATGTAGGTTGCCACAGCATCCAAGTACATTTCACCATGATTCTGTTCTCGTATGCTACTATTCTAAAAAGAGGTTTTTCTGAAATTATAAAATGACCAATAAGCAACGAGAATAATATTATAGAATTAATAAAAGAACAATAACAAAGAAATAATGATCTGCTATTAAAATTATTTTGTTCGCCGATCAAAACACATTTTTGTGGATCTCAAGTGACGAACGAACCTACAGTTCACCTGATGGCAACTAGCTAATGCAATATACAACAAACTTTAAATAAAAAAGTCTACAGGTACGTACCTGTTACCTTTGAGGACTAAGATGGAATCCCTTAAGACTGATTTACACTTCGACAAGTACAGTAGCATGTTGAGTTGTGAACCTGGCGAGTTTAGAAATTCTCGTTTGAACGGCAATTAGAGTGAGTTTATTAGCAAGTTAACAATAACAGCTTTATAATATAATATTAATAACTAACGGGATAGCCGGCCGGTCTGCTTTTCGGCGAGTTAAGTTGGAAGTGAACTGAACTGAACTCGCCGCTCTTGTGAACGAGCGAGTTTAGTTCAGTGCATAAGTTGACAGAAAAAAATATAAAATTGTATTTTTTTAACTAAACTCGCCAGGACGACATTTGAACGCTACTGTTCACTTAACCACTTACTGTCAACTGCCCTCTACTGACCGGCTATCCCCTTCAACTTAGTTTTAACTTGCTACTTAACTTGCTAATTGCTGTTCAAACGATATATTGTATTTAACTTGCCAAGTTCACAAGTTAACTCGCTACTGTACTTATCGAAGTGTAAATCGGTTTTTACAGATAGAAGTTTGGTTCTCTATACACTTCAGACCGGAACACAGATATGCAGGCACTGCTATTAGACGGCAGAAATAACAAAATAAGTAGTACTACTTGTACCTACTCAGAATTACTCTTCCAAAAAATAATCTTTGCCACCTTCGCTTAAATAAGTTTGAAGATATAAGTTATAGATTACTGGAGAAAACTAAATTGGTTCTTTAATTAAATAATGTTTAAATATTTATTGTATACGAGACATATTGTACGTTTTTGCTAAAATAGGCATTTATTATTATTAAACGTTTATAGTTTCTATTGGAACATCGATTACGTTCTCTGTGCTTTGTTACATCTAGTAGTGGCAAACTATGCGAATAGTATGCTTTTTCTGTAACATTTTCCTGCAGTTTTATCCGTACTAAAATTGGAGTTCAATTCTTTGGATGTCAGTGTGTCTTTCTGTCTGTCTGTCACGAGCATTAATAGACTTATCCGTTTCTTCCGTGGAATTTTTTAATGTACGTAATAAAATCTATTTTTAACTCAACCAAAACGCCAACCAACAACAAAAATAAACCAGCATATATTGTGATATGAGTCATTTTATGAGTCACTGCTATGAATCATCGTCTTGATAATACAAATAAATATATTGTATGAATATAACCTTTGTCGATTAAGGAGTTCAGAAGTTACACGATCACCAACAAACGTGTCCAGAAAAAATTATGGATATTGTTAAATTGAATCCAGTATAAGAAAACTTTTAAAGTATTGATTTTGTATAACGGTGAAAAAACATAACGACAAGAAAATGGAAAACTCAGAAAATGTTGTAAAATAGCCATTTCTTTTTGAGATTTATCCATCCCATTCATTTCTTTAATATGTGCAGTAAAACATTTCAATTTGAAATGAGCTGCTGAAAACTAGCTTTCCATTCATACCCCTCGATAAATCACTTTCCAACAACCAATAGGTATACTAAAACGGTATAAAGCAATAAAAAGACGAACTTCTCCAGCAAACACTTTGTCTGGCAATAATAATAACAATAAATTTCCGTCTCTGCCGAGTAGCATTGCCTGATGGGTGTTCCTATCACTGAAACGCTTATTCAGAATAGCGACGTTCAAATCGTGTCATATCTGGATGAAATTATCCGATACCGCAATAGACTTGATTCATGTTATTCATAAGGTTTTATTTGAATAAGGGTTGTTGTTGTGGGGGCTTTTTATACATTATGAAAAAATTCTAGTATAACTACGACAAAAATTTCTTAGATACACTGCCGTGGTAGCTCAGATGGTTAACGCTCGCTGTAAATATAACAGAACGTGAGTAACCCGGGTTCGAACCCCGCCGGCACCAATGAAATTGTTAATTGCAATTTTAAGTGCTGATTTACCACGTGCTCGGCGGTGAAGGAAAACATCGTGAGGAAACCTGCATGTCTGAGGAATAAGAAAAAAAATATTTCGAAGACATGTGAAGTTCGCCAACACGCATTGGGGCAGCGCGGCGGACACTTCCTTGCCCTAAAAACCCCTCAGAAATGAGGGGAGGCCTGTGCCCAGCAGTGGGACGTATATAGGCTGTAACTTTACTTTACTTTACTGTTTTTACACCTAACTCGGATTTTTCCTGTATAGAGTGTATTTAAGTAAAATGTCACGGTAGTTTAAACGCATGGTAAGCATAATCTTTTCATTCAAAAATAATTGAAATATCTGGAGCCATGGATAATATTATATCAGCAAAGGTATTCGCTATTTTATTTTATAGGGGATTCATAATAATTTTATTATATTTAGGTATATACAATTATAAATTAAAAAATTAAAAATGTTCGGGAAATTACGACACATCTTCTCGTCAGGTGTACCTCAATCTCTGAAAACTAAAGTGTACAACCAGTACGTGTTGCCAGTGATGACTTACGGATCAGAGATGTGGTCCTTCACTGCTGGCCGTATGAGGACGCTCAAGGTCGCTCAGCGAGCTATGGAGAGGGCTATGCTCGGAGTTTCTCTGCGTGATAGACTCAGAAATGAGGATATTCGCAGTAAAACCAGAGTGACCGATGTAGCTCAACGGATTAGTAAGCTGAAGTGGCAATGGGCCGGCCATATAGCTCGAAGAACCGATAACCGATGGGGAAGAAAGGTTCTCGAGTGGCAGCCTCGTACCGGTAGGCGTAGTGTAGGGCGACCCCCCACTAGACGGAGTGACGACCTGGTAAGACATGCAGGAAGTCGATGGATGCAGGTGGCTCAGGACCGTGCTTTGTGGCATTACTTGGGGGAGGCCTATGTTCAGCAGTGGACTTGTGAAGGGCTGTAATGATGATGATGATGATATATAATATACACGTAGTATAATTCATAATATCCACGTTATTTTGTTTGATATTATGAGGTTTTACCTTTTGTATTCTTGTTTTATTATTATTTTTACAGTTATATATTAAATTAATATCGGTTAAAATTCTCTATTACTGAATTTCAGAAAAGTGAAAGGATACTCTCAATCTTATTCACTCCCTCACATTCTTTATTAGCATGTAGACGATTCTGTAGACGCAACAGGATATTTTGCGAGGGATGAAGACGCATTATGAGGGGCGCCCACGGAGGCGTATTCAGACCCCTGTTTAATGTGTTTACAAGGAAGTATCGATTGTTCTATTGTACTTTTATTTGACTTGAAAATTTTGTGTTCTCTTTACGATCGTCAAGTTTATTGTGAGTTCTATCAAATTTTTACTTTCATTCTAACATTATCGCCGAACATTAAAAACATTTTTGTTTTGTTCTATTATAGGTACGTGACTGCAGATTTACCATATTTTTGGGCTGGTATTATTAATTTACTCTGCAGTAACTACTTTTTAGTAGCGTAGATAGTTAATGTGTTCAAAGCATTTAATCCCGATTTAGAAGTGTAAAAATTGAAAATTTAAAAAATTACTAATTTATTTATGTGCGAGACAAAAAGCATAAAATTATACTGTTCGCAATCCTTTCGTGAATCTTAAGGTTAGTACTTTATATCGAACATGCACTTGAGATGGTAGAGCGACAGGATGGTTTTAGGCGTTATACGTAGCGTAGCGTTATAGTAGACACTGTTTTTTTCTCTTCTTTGTCATTAACCAGAGGAAGGACCGGTGCTGGAAATAGGTCCTTTCAATTTGCTATTCATATCATATTCTATCAAACGGAAGAATATATCGATAAATTAAGAATAAAAAGAAAATTTGCATATCCCTTTAATAAAAAATGCCACTGACATATAAATACAACCAATTGATTCATCGGTAATGAAGTTTTTAAGCACTTTCTAGCGGCGCTGCGGGCCACGTATTCAAATCCCATGCAGAACGGGTGTTTGTATGGTCTGCAAATAATTGTCATGAAAAATGCCTAGAGAGAAAGTACTTGTAAAGGGTTTTAGGATATATAAAAATGACAAAAGCTATTAAAATAGACCAAAATTTGAAAAAAAGGATATAAAAATACTATTAAATAGTTGGTAAAACCTATTAGCTTATGTAATTCTCCTTTATATATATATATTTATTTTGATTTTAATAGTGAGTAAATCATTATTAGATAAACCATTTCAACCTTAGTGTATTAGGGTATTATTAAAACTATGGAATAAAATTAAATAAAGAACATGGTATTATGTGCTTGTAGAGATAATTCCTTTCTCCGCTAGAAGTTCCGCTAAAATGTTATGATATCCGTGCGTAATTTAATATATTAAAGAAAAGGGCTAGCAAATTTTTGTCTCAAGGATAGTGATATAATAGACAGGCGAATTCCTGTTGTAAATTTCTGTTTGCCCAGTCTGTCGTCTCGACTTTAATCGTAGCAACTCGTAATGTTTTCCGCTTCATGATCCTTTAAAGCAGACAATAAGGGGGTGGTATTTAATAAAACGTTGAATACTGAGTGCGTACCTGCGTTTATTGCTATTACACCATCATTCTCTCGTTCCCTCCGCATTTGGAGAAAGTTTTTCTATTATACCTTATATTTCATTTAGTGGTTTTCATCTAATATCATTACGTGTAGGGAGGCTTTCAACAAATTCTTTAAAAGCTGCATTGTTATTACGCTTGGTAGGAGCCGTGATGAATTTTTCAAATGGGATCGTTTTGTGCTCATTCATTCTTATTACACCATTCGCAATCTTATAGCACAGGAAATGATGCGGCTTCAAGTCAAGATTGAGGTAATAATTTGGTTTTTAATAATTGTTTAAATGTACAACTAGCTGTCCATCGCGAGTTCGTCCCCGTGGAATTTATTACGATTGGATTTCATGGGTCCTAATTTTTTTTGCGTAGAACACCAATTCCTTTTTTGTTAAATAAAACTAGCCTAAGTTACTCCTTATACATCAGCAATCTGCCGGTGAAAGTACCGTCAAAATTGGTCTAGTGATTTCGGTGATTAGCCAAAAAAACAGACAGTCAGAAAGACAGACAGGAGACGGTCCGAAATTGTATGAAACGTAGGCCTGGTTTTGTACAAGTAAATATTATATTTTACCACTTTTGGTCACTCAAATCCACGAAGTTGCCTTTATTTCAGTTGTATTAATACTTTTTTTTACCAAAAACTGCAACACTAATGGCGAATTGATGTAGTTTTAACTTAAGCTGTCAATATTAGAAGCTTGCAATATACAAAAAATATCACACTACCTACATAATTTCATTATTCAAGTACCTTGTCAGACATGACATTTGACATATAATTATATGACTGGAAAAGCGCCATGTCTTTTGGGATCGCATTTTTATTTTTGAGTTTGATTTATTCTCTTATTTTATTTTTTAATAAAACCCCTGAAATTTTCGCTTTTTTACGGTATTTTGTACATATACTGGGCCTAAATTTTTTTATAATATTTCACATGGATTTTGTAAAAATCTGTTGTTTTGACATTATAAGCAGACACCACAATATTATTTATTTGTATAGATTTTAAATTACAAGTTAAAAAGGATTTCTAAATAACTGAACACTTGAATGTGTTAATATTATATAATTTATACTTGCGATTTTTATCACGTGTACTTTTTTAAGTATCTATTTTAAATTATTAATGTACTAACTATAAAAAGGGTTTTGTCTCACGGCGTCATCAGGGTTTTTTATTTATACGGCTAAGGGGATAATATTAATATTGTCCCTACGTACAGGATTGTCAACAGTGGTGACGCACAATGAAACAGCACGGTTGGCTGGTGACGCTTCGCGAGGTTCAGATGGGGTGTTGTTGGCGGCTGGCGGGTGTGCGGCAGCAGCGTTGGCGTTACTGGCTGGAGCGGCTGCAGCTGGAACTCTGTACAAACGTGGAAATAAAGCACGGCATCATGACTCGATACAGTAAGATGATTTTTTAATACATTCTAACTGAACTAACTGTGATGATTGCAATGTAAGAACACCATCTAATCTAAACTTTTAAATAATGAAATTAATTAACCAACGCTCGTCGACCGAAGGGAAGAAATTAATTATTTCCATTTGGCACGACACACCTCTCTCGTTAAAATTATCTCTACCTACAGGATTGTCAACAGTAGTGATACACAATGAAACAGAACGGTTGCCTGGTAGCGCTTCGAGGTTCAAACAAGGTTTTGTTTGCGGTTGGGGTTATACGGCATAATTGAAACTTAATTATTGAATAGTCATCCCCAGTTACTTTATGATACGCAATGTTTTCATTATACATATATAAATAATTAAGAATTACTTCATTCAATTGACTTGTGAAAGTTTATGCGAAATCTATACTATTTGCGTTAAATTCTGAGTTGGGGTTATCGAATAATGAACATATATTTTCATAAACTTACTAATGTATCTGAAATTGAAGCTTGATTTACAATACACTGAAAACAAAAACATGTATATTTAGAGCTATTAAACGCTTCCTTGGCTGTTAAAATTATGTTTGATATAAAAATAACACACAAAGTATGTCACATGCAGGTTATAAAGTATATTGAAAGCTACCCTTGTCTCTGGCGTGGTTGATGGATGATCGCTGGGGAGGCTTTATCGACAGATAATAAATAACCCGGCGAGGTTTAATTGCAGGCTTCCTTTGGTGTTTCACAAAAATAATAGTGACGCAGTGACATATTTAAACGACCTGGATCAATGTTCTATTTTAATGTACCCAGAGGAAAAATATATCAGTTTCCATGTCTAATTTACAAAATGAAACTGAAATTAATGAAACGTTGAAGTTATATTTTAATTTAGAAATATAACTTTATCGTCTCTTATTTAGCTTCATTAATGAGTTACTAATTACTATTTGCGTCTATAACCTGCAGTAGCGGCTTACCATCAGGTATACTGTAAGATCATTTAGAAAATTTTATAAAAAAATACTTTTTTTACTATAACGATTTATATAAATACACGAAGTACGGTTAATAAGGAAAATTAATCAAATAAGAAGAAAGAACACTCGTTTATTTAAGATACGTTTTTTTCTTTACTTTTTCTCTATCAGTGAAATTAAGAACTACTAAAATAATATGAGACTTAACGCCTTAAGCAACTTCGTATAAAATATATTTAATGAAGAAGATTAGGCAAAACAATTTAATATGTGGATATAGTCAAACCTAGAAATGTTTAAGTCCTGTCTTGAAGAACTCAATGTTCAAGAAACAAAATAAATTAGCAATCATTCTATAATTCTTTTCTTAATTTAATTATTTTATGTTATACACGTTAGATGTGTAGGGCCCGCACTCTATGGAGTGACGACCTGGTAAGAACTACAGGAAGTCCATGGGTGTAAGTGGCTTAGGACCATTTGTGATGGGATATAATGATAATGATGATGACGATGATATTTTAAAAAAACATAAACACACACACACACACAACACACACACACACACACACACACACACACACACACACATACACACACATGTACACAACACATATATATATATATATATATATATATATATATATATATATATATATATATATATATAATTCCATTTGGCACACGCACGTGGGTGTGTGTGTATGTGACTGATTTTCCTATTTACTTTTGAAATGTCCTCAGTGACGTAATTCAGAGCCACGCTGCAGTTATATTGTGGTTCTAGCACGAATAGGTCGACTCGACTGGGGTATGGCTACGCTCTTACAGAATACCAGCGTAAAACAACAGCTTAACGCTGTTGTGTTTCGTATTGTGAGTGTAGAGAACCGGAGACCCTTTTTACTGGAAACGAGGCATTCCATATTCGTCCTCAGGGGTGACAACGCGTCAGCATTTTGATTCTCGATCGAAGCTAAATTTAGATGTCTATGGGCCACAACATCCATTTATCATCTGGACTGTGTACTGGATTTATTTTGTCACTCCTATTAAAAAAGCCCACCACGGAGTCGTCATATATTTGTACTTACTTACGTATTTAATTCAAAATTATGATTAATGTAATGTGTAAGAATTAAATGGAAAAAATTGTACTTTTTATCTTCTTAAATTAAGTATACTTTAAATAAACAACAAGAATAGTTACAGTACATCACCATTAAACCGCGAAACGGTTTGTAATGGGTAAAAATTTATACTAAACAAATTTGTGGAGCTCTACGATGTATGCGATGTATAATATGATTGATTTATAAAATGGAACAGTTAACATTATCTTATAATTTTGTATGAATATGTATGCTTAATTGTCGAGGACTTAACATTTATATTTTGTTGTAGCACCTCCTACACAACCGCTGCGTATGGAAGTCATCAAAACGTCTTGTTACGACTCGATACACTAGGTCGACCACCCAGTTCAACTGGATCCTATGCCACTATAGCTAGCTTGCATAAGTTTCCTTTCGGTGAGTAATTAATAATTTTGCATGATTTCCAGAATCACTTGATTTACGGAACGTAACTGGTATTTGCAATATCGTTGCACCTGCGAACACATCAGATGCGTCAAAAAGGTTCGGTTAACAGCGGCTGTTGTAAAACTGTCAAAGAATGAAACAAAACAAAGAAGGTCTTGATATATATTTTATCAAACCGTAAAGGGGATCTATTGGACGTAAATAGGTAAGCGTATCGTACCTTGACTCTGCTCTCTACCGGTGGTCTGAATATTTTGTATCTGACATAAAAGAAAACATTATTCAGTTATTTTCTGGCAGACGATTTTAAGGCCATTTAGAAATTTCTTTTAATAAGGTCTTAGAATACCTTCTGTAAAGAACGGGTTATTACCAACATATAATTGATACACAGACGAGAGATGGTCACGTTGTATAAGAAAAGGGTTACATTTAAACTGCTTATAAAGCTTTGTAACATTTAGATAAAATTTTACGAAGTCATAAGGTTCCTTCACGTTATCATGACTTCGTAAAATTCGCTGACTAAAACTGGACCATTGAAACTTGAAACGATAGTTAATTAAAAAAATGGTAGTACAAGTTCACTTTTTTAATATTACAATATTTACATATTCTAACAGTGTTTAATGAACAAAAATATAAGTATTTTTTGTTCATTAAACACTGTTAGAATATGTAAATATTGTAATATTATTTACATATTCTAAGTATTTTTTGGGAATATTTATTTTCCCTGTATCTTAAAGCCTATAGAAAGTCCACTGCTAAACATAGATTTCCTCATGGGAGGCAGATTCTTCATAACTACCATCCTGTTAGGTAGGTGCGTTTTCAATAGCAGGTTTTTAATTTTTTTGGTTGTTATTAGAAACCCTGCTGCCCATTTCATGGCTTGTTTACCTCTGTCGCCTTTTACGACATCCACTATATAGTAAAGGTGCAAAAATATCGATTGCCTCATATCGTTCCCTAGGTTTCGTAAAAGGTGATAGAGTAAACCAGTGTCGTAAGCAAAAATCAAATCAATTGTTCCCAGACTCTTCTATGTTTTTCCTCCTTGTTTTATTCAAATAAGTGTACTTACAACTGAAAAAATTATTGAAATTAAAATTAAAATATCATATTAAACGCTAACATATCTTTACGTGGCAAACATTATAATGAAGTGAACATTTGCAGGCAGCCGACGTTCACCATCTCCGTACGCTACGACGCACATTGGAGAGCATGTTTATGCGAAACCTGAATCTAGAGTATCTTACTACGCTGCGTCAAATCTCACACATGTTTCACAGGTAATATTGATCTCTGAATATTCTAAAAAAATATCAAGTAAATGTCATTGTCATACTTAGGTTTTTTAAAACAAATAAGGACAAATGAGCAGACAGCTGGGTAGATGTTGTGGCCTATTAACTAGAACTACGAGTACAGGCTAGGAAGCATTCTAACTTAGTCCTTAGAGGTGACAACGTATCTATGTAGCTTACTTAGTTCGAAGCTGGTTGCAAGTATCCATGAGTTGTATTTAGTTACTTTCCACCATGTGGGCTGAAATTCCATTCATCTTTCTTTTAAGTTTGATAAAACATCTTCATCTGTTCTCGATTAGGTATCAAAATTTATATGAATTTTCGCCTTTTAGGACTACTATGAAATAATAAATCTCTACCACTTAACAGGAACTCCGTTTCTCTACGCTGACAAATCTTAAAACATCAGCAATATGCTGTTTTTTGGCGCTGATGTTCTGTAAGAGTCCTCTGGTTGAATCCATCCATTCGTGGTGCAGTCATTGTTAAGATTCATTTTCTTTTTCATAATTTTCCGTACAAATCCTTATACCGAAATATTTACAAAGTGCTTTTAATAAATGAACACTGATTGATACAAATACTAATACTTTAAGTAAAATTCATGGAATATGTTTCCTAAATTATAACTATTTATTCACGCAAAAATATTAAATTAAGAAAACTGTTAAAACAAGGTGTAATTAAAAAGGTTTCAATACTTCGTCGTTACTAAAGCGCGTTAAAATTTGTACCTAACTAGTTTTTCCGAGAAAAACTTACTTTAATTATTGAATTTATAACTCTAGCAATTTATAGAATTTTCAAAAATTAATCATCATTTAATTAAACTTAAATGATGTAATTTTAAATGGGAATCTCCCCTTATCGCTTCAGACATCTAAATCTTGAGTTTATAGCCCATAATATATAAATTAGCTGCCATTATGTGGTTACCGCTGATCCCGAACACATGCTAAACTCGATCGGTCTTGCTACAAAATATGGTTAATTGATAGTATCCGATTTAAGCTATGATTTAAGCAAATTTAAGCTAGAGAATGAAAATACCACATTCTTAGTAAGGAATGATATAAAGAACAGATTATATCAGGGTCTGTGAAGAATTTTCATCTCTTGTAACTATTTTTACCGACTTCAAAAAAGAGGAGGTATTCAATTTGACTGTATGTTTTTTATGTGTCATAACATTTCTCTGAGTGAACCGATTTTAATGATTCTTTTTTTATTTGTGATTCTTTTGTGGTCCGATATAAATTGAAACAAGATCTGATCAGTAGTTCTTGAGTTATCTTTAATAATGTGTTTTTAGCTGACTTCGAATACATTGATCCTGTTCTCATTTTAATTATATTGAAGTCGGTTGTACAAAATTTTTTATTGTACGACTTATTATTTTAAAATCTTTTCCACTCAATGCGTCCTTCAGTATTTTTTTTCTTTTGAAGATTTGGCAAACTTTTTATATATTTTTTTGTTTTTGTTTGTGATAATATATGAATACTCTTTGTCATAAAAATGCGTAAATATTTATATTTTGAATAAGCGTATATTACTTTAAACCATTGTTGTCATTATCATTTTGTTAGTAATCATGCATTAAACATATAAAATAATACAAACCTAAATGTGCAGCGAATAAAATAATTAAAATTTGAGTAAAACGTAAAGTGGCAGTGTAAGAATACCCACTAGACAACTGTCAACCCGCCTGCTAAGTGTGGCAACTATGGCAAATGCTATGGGGCAATCTGTGGAGGAGAACTGAGGTCAGCAGTAGACTTTTAATATGCTGCAACGGTAAACGGTAACGGAGTTACGAAATTAGAGAAATATTAAAAATAAAATAAGAAATTGATAACATTATTACAGTACTGAAACAATTCTCCTTGTGAAATTTACGTATGTAAACTGCCTCCGCGATTCAGGAGAAAATCTTATTGTACAACGTAAAACGTATTTTAATTTTAAAAAATTATAAAATTATTTTAAATAATTGTAATTTTAATAACAACTAATCTACTATTGCATATTTCAAACCTTTAGCTCAAATACATTTGTGCAAAATATATGCATGTACTCTGATTATAAAGAGAATATCAGAGGTGCTCTGTGATTTGTGTGTAAGCTTCATGTGATCGACATGACTACTGAAACTGACTGGTCTCACAAACACCGTCTAAACGTACGAACTTCTTATCGTTATGCAAAAGATAGGCTTTTACTAAACTTTGTTGTAAGGCTACAAATACTGTATTTCTTTTATAATCAAAAATAATAATAAAATTGAACATTTTGGTAACGAATTTATAAATCACTTCTCTCAAATACAATTTAAGGCAATTATAAAATTATTTAACTCCACAAACAAGTTCTTTATTTCTTTAAGTTTCCTCGTCCGAGGTTGAGTGCGCATAAAATGAGCCCTTTACCTCGTTAGAGATCCAATTTAAGCCGCCTGCAACACCATCCCTCCAGGTGATACAAACGTAATGCAATTAGCGATTTTCTTCAACACAAAGATTCAAGAGGCTGGATGAGCCTTTTCGATGGTGTAATTGCTATTTAAAAAATATTCTTAAATATAAAATTACCTTTGTAAATGCATCAAGTTCGTTTTTTGAAGATTTGTGTAAAATTATATCTCAAATGATATAATCTTTAATAATACTTAATGTAAGGTGAAATAGAGTTTATAAAAACTTAAAAAACACGCATTTATTGTGATGATCCTCATAAAAAATACTAGGTGATGGTCATGAAAATTATTAAATTATCATCGGTTTTTAATATGTTTGCGAAATAACTGATTATTAAGTTGTACGGCAGTAAGTGAAAACTGAATTACAAAATTCACATTCATACATACATTCTAATGTACATACCTATATACAACGTACATACCAGTCATAATGACATTAAGTAAGGGTAGCAAACGAGCATATAGTTTAACTGATGGTAAGTGGACGCTGTGGCCCTTAGACATCTACATCTATTCTCGATTAAGAAACAAAATGTAGATGTATTGTCAACCCTAATACAAAGGGTGCGTTTGGCAGAAAAAAGCGCTAGCAAGCGCTTGTAAGCAAAATGGCGATCGTAAGCGGTAAACGCTGTCAAATCGTAAGTAGCTATTTTCCTCCAGGACACAATGTTAGTTTTAACCGGAGAACCTAACCTAATTTAAATATATGTTTGTAAAGTATTCATATTAAAAACTTACCAATCATGAATTTTTAATAACATGTATATGTTTATTCACGTATTTTATATTACTTAAACTAATTTTGCACAAAACAACTTAAAAACTCTACTTCAAAACAAACAAATTAAATAAGCAAAATGGCGGATTGTGTCAGCGCTACTGAAGTAGTAATTGTGTCCTGGCAGAAAACTATTTCAGCGCTTGTAAGCGCTTGCTAGCGCTTTTTTCTGCCAAACGCACCCAAAGACTAAATGCCTCGTTACCAGTAAAAAGGGTATCCGGTTCGTTGCGGTCAACATATGATACAAAGCATAAAACTACTATTAACAATAATTATTATTATTTATTGACATTCATAGTTCACAATTCTACGTTGATTTTCCGTGTTTCACACCCAGTCGGGTCGACCCAGCGTGGCTCTACCAAAAATGTATATTTTTAAGCGTTTAAAAGCTCTTCTTATAAGTAAAATTTATTTTGGTAACGAGTAAGTAATGCTTTTGCACATAGATTAAAAGATGATTCTTGTTACACCGTGTCACAACCGGGCCGGGTCCAGCCGGGACGCGTTCAAACATCTTAGCAAACTTTTTGTATGAAGTGATTCATGCTTGTCCGTGGCCCGGCCGTGTGCCACCAGGGCCCGGCCGGGGCATGGCGTCGAAATGTCGATGGGTATAGTTTCTCGGTTCCGGATCGGCCCGGCCCCGATATGTTGTTACATGAACGTCTACGCCGGGCGGACAAATCTTTGAGACAGTCGACGACAAATCTTTGAGATGTGCGCAGCCCAATATCAAAATTGACGATGAAACGTTGCCAGAATGTATGCGCAAATATCCTGTAGTTTACGACATGATCCATCCTAAGTATTTCGATAGTAAATACAAAAATGTTATTTGGAAAACAATATCAATTCAAGTTGTGAAAATTGTATATTTAATTGAAGCGTCACGTTTATTGACTGATAAAATCACTAGTAGACACAAAACACCTGAACAGACACGGCCGTGCAAAGAATACACGCAAACTGCCCGGTGTAGCATGAATGAATCGCCCGGCCGGCGCATGGTGGATGTGCCCCGGATGGAGTCTGGCCTAGTCGCGACACGATGTAACGTGAATTATGCTTTAGTATGGTTATTTTAAAATATTAGTATATTCTCGTGTACACGATAAAGGATATTAATTGTACATGTAGGGTCAAATATCCAGATCCGAATGATTCGAAACCACGGCCAAGGCTATTCGTATTTCGTATTCTTTAAATCATCCAGACTACTTTATATCTTTCCTTTATTAGACTTGGCACGGCGCAACCTTTTTAATTTGTATCCCCTTGTGTGCATAAATTCAGCGCCATTGTGTCTTCCAAAGGAAATATGAATTAGTCTTATTTAGGGAGAGATTGTAGCGGGAACTGATGTGGTGGTGTGAGAATCGTTACAAAATGGAAGGGGATAGTATATTAAGTAAAGGTTTTTATTTACCATAAGTTGTTGAGTGTAAACTAGAGACTACAATTTTTATATAAACTGTAGTGACTAACGAACTTTCTGGTCACCGGTTGGTAAAAAGTTACTCCCTTTCATACCTTAACAGATCTAGATCCAATAGTGAGTGAAAAATTGAACTAGGTGCGTGCGTGTTCTCCTGTTTTCCTGTTTGAAGATTGTAGAGAGCCAGTATAATTGAATGGTTAAATGAACTCACCTTAAGTGAAGGTAACCATAATTATACGAAGTTTCTTGTCCGAGACGTCCTTTACGACTTGTAG